GATAATTTCGCGTACAGCCTGAACAGACTTGAAGATTCAACGTATACATCAAAAATAAGAAGCTTGGACTCAGAACAACAGCTCAACAACAGGAATATACATCACTAAGGAGCGGCTCATGAGGAACAGTAGAAAGTCAAGAAAAGGCGATTGCAGTAACAGGAGTCAGGCATGAAATTGGTCAAAAATTTACCTGAGGGGATCTACCTGTGATACGAGCCAGATTTCAGACAGCCAAACAGTTATTTTGATCTTTAGCAGTGGCTAATTGACAAGCTAGTAGGAAAAAATGGGGACATAATGTAGGTTAGGAACCTTGCAAATGGCACATGGTACCGGTGGTGGAGATGATTACGCTTCACTAAACACGCTTGTTTCGACTCACTTTTAGTCGGGATTGGAGGAAACGAGAGCACAAAATTGTTCGAATAGGCAAATGGGCCATATGAAGTGGGGTTAATAGAAAGGGATGCAACACTAGAAGGTATCCGCAGTCCTATTCTGGTGGTGTTCTCTTCATTACAAATTTTCATTCCTTAAAGCTTAACCCGTATTTTAGCTATATCAATGTAATTTTTATTTATCCTTTTTATTAAGATGGAATATTAATACCTTTTCTGCTGTTTCAATTCTAATAAATTGATTATTCTTTTAAAATAATTAATTATACAAATGACATTTACCAATTTAGGTTTCGATTATCTGGTTGAAGCGTGAGGGATGAGGTTGCTTTGATTCGTATTCCATAATAATGATATTTTGAATTGCCACTGTAACACAACAAAATATGGAAGTTAACATATAATATAATATTTCTATTTTTAAGAACAGCTTTGATAAAATAAACTACGGTTCGTAGTTTGCTATCAGCTATTGTTTCATTCAGTCCTATTTTGTATATGAGTATCAGTATTATGTTTGGCCATATAACATTGTTTGTAGAAACTCATTTCTACTGCAGAAACTCGCAGTATAGCATATGCACAAAGATATTTCAGAGAAGGAAATAAAGGTTAATGACTCTACTATCTTTGCCGTATATGCCTTCTCAAGAAAGTTGATTAGGCAAATCCTCCGAATGTGCGCCTGAATTATGCCAGGCATGATTTTTGAATAAGGTTATGAGCAACTCCGAAAGAGCTCATGACAAAATATGCAAAACCAAAGCTCAAACTACAAATAACAAAGAGTACAGGTAAGATTTCAGTCAATTTTACACACATAAGGAATCAAAAATTCTGTTTATTAAATCTGAAGCAAGAAATAGATTTGCTAAATATTTTCCATTTATAAGTTAGCTTTCGATAATACCAGTAAATCAGTTAAATGAGATGTATTCACAATATTTCGTTTAAGTTAATGAAGGATATGAGTAGAGCTGACGTTTCGAGTGAATCTCATATAGAAGTTGTTTGCCCTTGTTTTCGCAACTTTGGCATATTGGTAGGAAGACTTAGAGGAAT